CGAGACCATCGACGTGCGGGGGCAGCCCGGGGCCTGGGCGGGCGAACTCGTCGCTTCCTCGACCGTGGATTTCATCGAGCGGCGACGCGGCCAGAGCTCCGTGTTCGCAGACTGCCTCGCGATCCAGTGGGCCGAGGCAGTGGCGCTCCGAGCGCGGCGCCAGAGTTCGACCCGTGCGCCCGTGGCCCCCGACGTCGCGAGCTTCTCAAAGGGGCCGGACGCTCGCGAGCACGGCCGGCTCATGGCCGCGATCCGAGAGGTCGAGGCCGAGATGCACTGGGCCATGGAGCAGGACTGGGCCCAGAAGGCCAAGGCCGAGCCTCAGACACAGCACAAGTCCCCGACCCAATGAAGGCCCTGCGAATGCCTCTACTGCGTTTCCGAGGCCCACGCCCGCGTCCGCGAGGAGAACATGGGCGCGGCGCCGCTCCACGGGGTGCAAGCGAATCAAATGCCCGAGCGGGGCGTCCTGGACGGGAGTTGCTTCCGCCAAGGCGACTTGCCCAGGGACTACGAGCAGGGCGAGAACACCTGCCCCCTGGACCCCCGAGAACTGGGCCTCGAGCCCGCCGACGAGCAGAAGGACATGCTCAGAACGCCAGAAGAGCGGATCAAGGTGATCCAGTTCCCGCGCGCCCTCGAGAACCGGATCATGGCGGCGCGAACAAGCATGCGCGAGAACAGGTGGGCGCCCAATTTCCCGAGCCAGTTCGCGGGCGGGCGCGCGTGTAAGTGGCCGCGCAAGAGGGCCAAGACTGGCGGCAAGGCCTCGCTCGAGCACCTGAGCCGAGGCGCGGTCGAGGCGAAACTTACAGAGAGGCCGCCGCAGGCGAAGACGAGCATCTCCAAGGAGTTCAACCAGAAGAAGCATGCGGAGAAGAACGCCAAGAAGCCAGCGAAGGCCAATAAGCAAACGGGCCTCGAGGCTTGCGAGAACCCCCCCATGGCACGGCACGGTGGCGCGCGTCACCGAGGATGCAGTCAGCGAGGGCTGGCGCGGCAGAGTGCAGGACGTCTGGCGAGTTCTGGGCACCGAGGACGCACGCCGCCTGCGCGTCCTCGATGTGGGGGCCGCGGCGACCTTCCAGATCGAGAGCAGCGAGGCTGGGGGGCTCGCAGGCACTCGTTAGCTTCCGCCTGCTTCCGACTGAGGCGGCGGAAACAAGGGGAGGCGGCGGAAATTTGTGGAAAGTTGGCGGAAGCAGGCGGTAGCGACACGAAGTGGAAGCAGGCGGAAGTTAACGAGCGCCTGTGAATCCCGAGCGCCACAGGTCACGATCGAGCAGAACTGCAAGTTTCCCCAGCCGCGCAAGTTCGGCTGGCGCCAGACCAGACTGGCTTGCCGCACCGAGCTCGCCAAGGAATACGCGATCATGAACTGCGGGTAGATCGCCAACGGCGACGCCCTCGAGCTAGACACAGCGCGCGCGCTGCTGGGCGAGATCGAGGAGCACGCAGGCGCCCCCGACACCGATCTGGCGGTCGAGCCCGCGGCGGCCGTCGCCCGGGCTCGACGGGGGCCGGGGCGAGGACAAACCCGCCGCCCGGCAGCCCGAGGAGCAGATGCGCTGGGCCGAGAGAGTCGGCAAGGCCCAGCGCGTCCTGATTCGCGCGCGCGCCGAGGCGCCCGCGCGCAACACCTACATCAAGGCCTGTGTTTGCTGCTGTTGCCCCTGCCCCAAGGTGCCTCCAGTTTTTTCGCTCCGTTTTGGAGCGAATCCTGGAGGCACCTTGGGCAGGGGGGGGCAATTATGGCAACGCCCGCCAAGGTCTCGAGGATCGGCGGGGGCGTCGCGGTGGAGCACCGCGACGCCCTCGAGCAGCCGTCCGAGAACGCCAAGCAGGCCTAAAGGTCCACGTGCGACCTCGCGCCAGCGCCCCGCGATTTCAGAGGGGGGAGGTAACTTGTTCGCCATGTCGGGGGCTGCCAAACGAAGTGTACCCCACCCTGTTCAGAAATCGCGGGTGGGGTTCGCGCGTGGCCTCCCAAGGCCGCCGCGAGGATCTTCCGCGAGCTCGGCGCCGTTGGCCCTGGCGAGACCTGCCCTACGAGGAGCAACGTGATGTTTCAGGCCGGCGCCTGGCCCCGCGGCCCGTGGACGAGTCGCTGGATCGAGCCCGCCCTGCTCGAGATCCGAGGCGAGGGCCCCCCAATCGTCTGCGAGCATCAGCGCGATGCGCGCCCGAGGCAACGAGTGCGCCCACAAGCTCCAGGAGGCCAGCGACGACGACTTGGCCAAGGCCAGGGCCAATAACGAGTTCAAGCCCCGCAAGTGCCCCGCGGCCGTCGAGCCGGAGCGCGCCGCCTTCGAGGGGACAAGCGCTGCCGCCCGAGAGTGCACCAAGTGCCTCCCGTGTAAGGGCGGTTGCAAAGCGCGCCGAGCCTTTATGGGCGAGTGGTTTAGTCTACACGAGCGCCTAGGATCACCATCATCCTCATCGTCATCATCACCATCATCAGAGTGGGGGGGCCGAACGGTCATTCACTGTCCCTGGGTGCGTGGCTGCAGTGGGGATCCACGGCGAGGATTATCGCTGTTGTTTTGTCGTTTTGTTGCGCCGTCCCCCCTGCGACCCACCCCGCGACCCACCTGCGACCCACCCCGCGATTCGCCCCGCGACCCGCCCCGCGACCCGCCCCGTGACCCACCCCGCGACCCACCCGCGACCCACCCGCGACCCGCCCCGTCCCGCCCGCGACCCACCTGCGACCCCCCCTGCGACCCACTCCGCGACTTACCCGCGACCCACCCCGCGACCCACCCCACGAACAACCCCGCGACCCAGCCCGCGACCCAGCCCGCGACCCACCCGCGATCCACCCGCGACCCACCCCGTGATTTACCCGCGACCCACCCGTGACCCAGCCTGCGACGACCCACCCCGCGACCCACCCGCGACGCGACCCACCCCACGATCCATCCACATTGTTTTAAGAAGAAACGGCGCCTGCGGTGGGCTCAGTGCATAATTTGTACAAATTAGGCGCCTGCGACAGGCTTCTTTAGAGCCTCGCAGGCTGACGACGTCCTCGCCGCCCCTTCACTCTTATCGGCAACTGCGGGGGGCTACGTAACTTATAAATAACACCACCTTCCCCGGGAAAATCGTTGATTATCCCCGCCAGACCCCCGAACTTTATTATCCCGAGGTGATGATTATCCGGGGCGCAAGGTTACCCGCATTGTTCGGGTCGGACGAGAGGCTGGCGAAGGCAAAGGGAGGTTACGAAGCCTGCTGCGCGCAGCCGGTTGCGGTCGCCCCGCCGAAAAGGCCAGTCCTCGACGCGTACTTGGAATATCGGCGATGCGAACTGCTTGGCAAATGCCCCCTTGCTGCGCCCCACTTCCGTCCAGCCCGCCTTACCGCAGGCCCGCATCGGCTCGACAGAACAAGGGGCGCCCTGGTTCGCCTTTGCCTCCAAACGCCCCCCTTTGCCCATCGTTGGCGGCCCGGCGTCGGCGCGAATCACCGGCGCCGCCCCGTTGATTTTCAATTTGGCGGGCGCCGCCCCGCGATTCGCCCGAGCAGGGGAACAATTTGTTTAAACGTGCGCCCCTACGGATCTGCGAATCACAAGCTAGCATTATCCCCTTCCCCGCCAGGCCCATCGTAACTCAGCCCCACCATCCCGCCGTCCCAGTTGGAGATAGGACTTCGAATCCCGACGGGAACAGCCTATATCTTTATCTGGCGGCGATCAAATCGGCCAGTGGGGCCCCGGCCACGACAGTGGGGACAGGGAACACCTACACGATGTTCAGTTCGTCCGACCCGGTACTGCAGCAGCGCTCACCAGCGCCAGCCGCCGCCGGCGACGGCGCCAGCGCCAGATTGCCGCAGGGTGGGAAGCGGACGGCTTGCTCGGGGCCTCGACAGGGACGGACTGACACGGCAAGTGATTTCAGGGGCAACGTGGGGAGGGAAAAATAGGTTCCAAGGGCGAATTTGCGGGTTCTTGCTTCGAATTGTTGTTTGAAGCGTTTTCGTCCGCTCCATGCGGGTTTCCACCCTCGGGGTGCGTTCTAGCAGCTGCGCCTCGCCGAGGGCGTTCCAGGGCTGCGTGGATTGTCCCGCGCGGTCGCCGGAGAACCGAGAGACGGCCCGAAAGCCAGGGGCACCGCGCCAGGGGGGGGATGCGCTCAGGAAGGGGTTGCATCGGCCCCCAATCGCCCACGAATCGCCGAAAGGGCCAAATGTTCGCCGACCTGTCGGCGACGTGTCGCCGAGTCCAGGTCTTTGTGTCCCCCCTGAGCCAGTCGCCCCCGAATGTTCCCTTTCAGGATCAGCGGAGGAGTACATTCCACCAGTCCCTCGCTTTCCCCTTGTAGGGGCTGCCTGGGGATGGCCTCGTCGCCACTCGCCTCGGAGTCCTGTTCAGAGCGCACTCGAGGAGAAATGTGGGGAGCAGCTGTATGGAAATCCTTTGCCCCCCCCAAGGGAGGAGGGAGGAGGCTCTCAGATTTTTCAGTCCTGGCAGAGCCCCAAGACCTTCAAACATCTTCGCTTCGGATTCGTAAAGGTGGCCCAGAGGAAGTCCCAGGCTACAGGACCCGTTTTTCTCATGACCCCTTTTTTCCCTTGCTTCATGCCTGTTGACGGCAGCGTGCGCACGGGATCACACGGCGGTTGGGCGAGGGGGGCGGCCTTCTGAGAAGGCAGGGGCGCTTCTCAGGCAGAGTGGGCCCGGGGGCTTTTCGAGGGCTTTCGCAGAAGCCCGTGCCTTCTTTGAAGGCTACTTCCCCCATCGCCTGACCCTCTGCTGCGTGCCGCCGAAAGGAGGAGGAGGAGGAGAACCTAGACCTCCGATGACGTTTTCATCCTCGGCAGTTTTGGTTGGTGGCCCCAGCCGAATAACTACTGCCAAACTGGGTTAAATATCTGCCCATCCTTCTATTCCTTCGAAGATGAAAACAACAACCTGCATAATGACAGCTTGTCTGCATGTTTATGCCGTGTGTTGTTCCTTTATTTCTGAAGACGTCGGGTGCCTGGGCCAGCCGGGCGGCGGTGCGCCGACAGTTGGAACTGCCAGCATTTCTCCGACCACTTCTTCCTGATCGCGACGGAGCCGCCTGCCGCACCCCCCCCCCAGGGCAACGTTGGATGCACCGACCCATATCGGGGCCATGAACATGTCCACTCTGCTACTTTGTGCATGTTCCCCACGTGGTGGCAAATGGCAGCCCACACACACAGACACAGAGTGCGTAGGGTTTGCAACACCTGTCGCCCGAAGAGCTGGCCAGACAGTTATACACTATACGTTGTCCTGTGGCGTTTCTGCGGAGCCCCATGGGGCAGAGCCCAGATATCCTCGTGTACATACTCGCGGTTCCCACCCCAGTCGCCCATTCATCGCCGACAGCGGCCCAGCAGCCCACTCCGCCCAGGAGCGTGCGGATCCCCTATCGGGGACTCTTTGCCAGTGGCGAGCGCTTCCGAGAGCGTCAGAGACTGGGACTGTCAACGGTAGGCTCGCGTCGTGTCGACCAGAGGCGACCCCGCCGCCGGCGTTCAACGTTGAACGCCGCCAGCGATCGAGGATCGGTCGATGTTGAACGGTTGGACGTGTCCGAAACGACCGATCGTTCAAGACTGAACGATCCCCGCAGTGTCAGCATCCAACGCCGGGGTCGACACGACACGAACTTGCCGTAGGCCTCCGAGATAGGGTCCGAGTAGATTGGGTCGGAGGATCGCGCCGCACCGTCGATGTATCGGCGATACAGCTTGATGGGGAGTCCGATGTTCTTCACGCCGGCGGCGCCGATGCGGCGCCAGGCATCAGTCAGAGTCCCAGTTAGAAGAAAAGCGCCATACATTAAACTGTTGGCGCTCAGCGCGGATTTCTTGGATCTGAGCTGGACCCACCGCGCTCTGCGCGCCAGGGATGGGGGGTCCAGCTCAGATCCAAGAAGTTCGCGCGGAGCGTCAAAAGTTGAATTTTTTCTTATTCTAATTGGGACTGATGCCCGAGCTTTCCCAGCGGCTCTGGGCTCAGATCTGCAGTTTTGAGTTGCCATATAATCTGGTCATTGAGGCTCCCAGCCCAGGTCGACGACCGGTCGTGGGGGGAGTGAGGGTGGTCGTCGCCTTTCCCTGCCTGGCTGGTGCCGCCATGTGCGGAGGGCAGCAGGTCGAATGCAGTCTCGAGCACAGCGTTTGGCGTCGCTCGGACGTGCGCGTTTTTTTCTCGGCAAGGACCATCGAGGAGCATGATGGGCCATCTTGCAACAAAACTACAAGCATCAAGCCCTAAAGTGTACTGGGGATGGACGTCCGAGCGATGGCGAGAGCGGGGATCGTAGCTACCATCTCAGAGTCCTCAGCTCGGATCGTGATTGGTGATAGCTGCAATTTTCTTTTCGGTGCCGTAAGTTATCGTTGACGGGCGCTTTAGGTCCCGTGAGTTGGTTTCGGTTCCCAGTTGTTTCTTTCTCCTCCAACGGGCGGCGCGCGCGGGGGGGAAACGAGTGGGAGCGCGCCTTCTCAGAAGGCCCAGACCAGGGGCAACGACAGTGGGGGATGGGCATTGGGGGGATGCTTCGACCCCTAATCGCCCACCGCTCACTGATCGCCGGCGTCCTCCTGCGCATGCTCCTCATGCGTGCGGTGTGCTCGCCGGCCGACGGCGTTTTGGGCAACGCCGGTGCGGGATGCTTCGTACATCATCGACCAGACAAAAGAGTGAACTTTCGCTGGATTGACCCTTGGTGCAGGCCCAATGTGGTCCCCCGATTGCTGAGTGCGGCGCGGGGACGCATGCGGGCGGTGGCACTGGGGCCGTCGGTGGAGCTCCCTATTGGGCCACGAAACGCGTGAGGGGTGAGCCAAATTGGGTGTGGGGGACGCATGCGGGCGGTGGCACTGGGGCCTTCGGTGGAGCTCCCTATGGGCCACGAAGCGTGTGAGGGGTGGGCCAAATTGGGTGTGGGGGGCGCATGCGGGCGGTGGCACTGGTGCCGTCGGTGGAATTCCCTATGGGGCCACGAAAACGGTGCACTGGGTGGGTGAAGCGCAGGGAGGAGGGAGGAGGGGGAGGAGGAGAGGAGGAGGAGAGGAACGCGGGGCGACGTCTCTTCAAAGCGAGGACCCAACACCACAGGATGGTTGGGAACAAGCAAATGCCACAATCCTTCAAAAACCCATGGGAAACAATGATTTTGGCCTTTTCGGGCCTTCCTGGAGGCCCTCTTGGAGGCCTCTTGGGCCGTCTTTGGCCATCTTAGGGCCATGTTCGGCCGTGTTGGTGGGCTCCTGGTCCGTCTGACGCCGTCGGAAGCCGTTTGGGGGGCCTCTATGGGCCGACTTGGGTCCCTCTTGGAATGCTCCAGGGCCGTCTTGGAGGCCATCTTGGGCGTCTTGAAGGCCTCCTGTGCCGTCTTGGGGGCCTGGGCGTGGGGGACGCATGCGGGCGGTGGCAGTGGGGCCTTCGGTGGAACTCCATATGGGGCCACGAAATGTGTGCGGGGTGTGCCGAATTGTGTGTGTGTGTGTCTGTGTGTGTGTGTGTGCGTGTGTGTGCGTGTGTGTGTGTGTGTGTGTGTGTGGGCATGCGGGCGGTGGCACTGGGGCCTTCGGTGGAGCTCCCTATGGGGCCACGAAACGTGTGAGGGGTGTGCCGAAATGGGCGTGGGGGACGCATGGGGGCGGTGGCACTGGGGCCTTCGGTGGAATTCCCTATGGGGCCACGAAACGTGTGAGGAGTGTGCCAAATTGGGTGTGGGGGGCGCATGCGGGCGGTGGCACTGGGGCCTTCGGTGGAGCTCCCTATGGGGCCACGAAGCGTGTGAGGGGTGTGCCGAAATGGGTTTGGGGGACGCATGCGGGCGGTGGCACTGGGGCCTTCGGTGGAGCTTCGTATGGGGCCACGAAACGTGTGAGGGGTGTGCCGACATGATTGATGATGTTGGTGGTGATGACGGTCGTGATGATGACGATGATGATGATATTGATGACGACGACGACGATGATGATGATGGTGATGATAATAATAATAATCATCATAATAATATTAATAATAATCATAATAATAATAACAATAATACTAATAATAATAATAGTAATGATGATGATGATGATGATGATGATGATGATGATGACGATGACGATGACGATGACGATGATGGTGACGCTGATGATGATGATGATGATGATGATGCTAATGTTGATGATGATGATGGTGATGGTGATGCTGATGCTGATGATGCTTCTGCTGCTGCTGCTGATGATGATGATGATTATGATGATGATGATGATGATGATGATGATGATGATGATGATGATGATGATGATGATGATGATGATGATGATGATGATGATGATGATGACGGGAGGAGAAAGGAAGGGGGAGGAGGAGGAAGAGGAGAGGAGGAGTAGATGAACGCGGGGCGACGTCTCTTCAAAACGAGGACCCAACACCACAGGATGGTTGGGAACAACTCTAGGACAATCAAGGTTTTTGGCCTCTTCTGGCCTCTCTTGGGGGCCTCTTGGGCCGTCTTGGGCCAGCTTGGAGCCAACTTCGGCCATCTTGGTGGATTCCTGGCACGTCTGACGCCGTCGGGAGCCGTCTTGGGGGCCTTTCTGGGCCGACTTGGGGGGCGCTTCGGGGGCGTCTTGGAGGCCATCTTGGGCGTCTTGGAGGCCATCTTGGGCGTGTTGGAGGCATCTTGGGCCGTCTTGGGGCCCTCTTGGGGCTGTCTTGGGGGCGTCTTTGGCCGTCATGGAGCCATCTGGGAGGCCTCTTGGGCGATCTTGGGAGCCTCTTGGGCCGTCTTGGGCCGTCGGACAGCCGAAAAGGCGCAAATGCCAAAATCCTTCAAACACCTAAGGAAAATCAATGAGTTTGGCCCTTTCGGGCCTTCCTGGAGGACGTCTTGGAGGGCTCTTGGGCCGTCTTGGAGGCCTCTTGCCGGCCTTTTGGGCCGTCGTAGACCCTCTTGAGGCCATCTTGTGCCGTCCTGGGTGCATCTTGGAGCCATCTTAGACGTCTTTGAGACCATCTTGTCTGTCTTGGAGGCATCTTGGAGGCCATCCTGGGCCATCTTGGCCGTCTGGGAGACCATCTTGAGCCAAGTTGGGGCAACAACGGCATTGACTGACGGATTTTCGGGAATCTCCCGGGACCCCGGCGGGACGGGCCGAAGCCCCAGGGAGAGTTCTCTTGGGAAAAGAACCAACACCAAAACCATATAGTTTGGCACGGTGGGCACCCCTTTGATAAATCGACAGGGGGCGGCGGATCTCATGGCCTTCGGCCTGTCCCGCCGCCGTGCCTGAGCCGTGGGCCAGCCAGGCGCCCGTGCCTCGACGCAGACACACCCCTCTGGACGTCTGGGGGGCCGAGGCCGAAGGCCACCGTCAGGGTGGCGCTCGGCAAGGCCCGCCACCGTGCCTGGGCCGTGGGCCAGCTGCCTCCTGGATGGCTTCTGGGGTCTCCTGGGAGGTCTTGCGGTGGCCTCTCAGAGGCCGCTTCCTTCGGCGGCGAGCGCGGGCGTGAAGCGAGAAGGAGAGGGTCTTCTCAGCAGGCGGCGGGGCTTCTCAGAAGCCCTCGGGACTTCTGCGAGGTGTTCTGTGTCTTCCGGGAAGGTGAAGACAATTTCTCGCAATGCTGGAGGACTTCCGAGCTTTTCGAGAAGGCCCGCCCCTTCTCAGCTCCCCTGGGGCGCGCCGCCGATTCCTGGGGCTTACTCGAGGCTTCGTGGAGGCCTCGTGTGGGTCTCTGGCCTCCAGTTCGCGTCATCCTGCATTGAGTTGGTTGCTCCATCACGGACACTGTGTTCAGCGCAATCATCTAGTTTTGCGCCAAAGACCGTTAGAAGACCGCCCAAGGCTGGGCATTCGGATGTCGATTTCGAGCCCCTGGAGAATCCAGAACCGAATCGGTGAGGAAGGGATCGAGAGATTTTATTCAGACTCTCAGCGGTGCTGCAGCATTGATGTGGTGTACTTTCATCCTGTGGTATCAGCGGTGCTGCCAACAAAAAGTCCCATGCCTAACAAAGACAAGCTGCGGGAAGCGTGTAGGGTGACAGCGCGGGCCCTTGTGAACCAGTGCGCCCTGTCCGAACG